AGCAGGACAAGGCCAAGAAGAGAGGAACGTGCAGGTGATTCACCAGCCACATCCGAAGACAAGCGGTGGCGTTCTTTCAGGTGCTGCTGCTGCTGTGGCATCCACTCTACAGTCTGCCAAGGATGCCATATCCAAAAAATAATGTATTCTGTAATGTCCTTTGATCAATTTGTTTAGCAAAGGACAGCTTTCGTAGTGTCTGAATTTATTCTTATGTATCTATGTTAGTTGTCCTATAAGCACAAAGACATGGACAAACTAGGGTCAATGATGTATTCAAATATCGAATTGATCCCATATTTTCTTGTTTTACTATTGTATTAGAAAAGGCTAATTCATCAAATTCCATTTTTTCATCTTCAGTAACTTCACCATAAAATATCCACATTAAAAGAATAAGTTTTAAATGGCTCTTCATATATGATTGCTTTGGTTTGACGCTATTGTAACTTCTGTAGTACCGTGCCATACGAATCTCATATATGGGGCAAGAAAATTCGTATCACATTATCACTTTTGCAAAGAGGGGTGTAAAACAATCATAATTCCCTTTTTTATTACCTGGTTTCAAATGGTATGACCATCACTAATTGACAAATGGCATCAAAACAAAGCTACCACTACCCTTTATTCTTTCAGCAATCTGCATGCGAATCCTATTCTCATTTTCTATTAGTGCAGTATCGATTCCTGGTGCTATTTTCTGGTCACACGTTTATATAGTACACCAACAACTGATTAATTTTTAACTTTAAGCTTTCCCTGCTTCTCCACAAAAACTACATTTTTTTCAGGTAATCATACCTTCCTCTTCTTTCATCACAGTTTGCAAAAAACAAAAGAACGAAAAAGAATTTAAAGGTTTTTCTTTTTGCTATGAAAAGAATTAAGTTAATTTTGTTTTCATTTTCCTCAGTTTTATTAAAAGGTTGTTTTTTCAGCTAAAATTTTGGAGGCAACGATGGGTTTGTCGGTGTCACGGCTAGTGAGACTGTTTTATGCGAAGAAAGAAATTAGGATTTTGATGGTGGGTCTTGATGCAGCTGGGAAAACAACGATACTGTACAAGCTGAAACTCGGAGAAATCGTTACTACAATACCCACAATAGGTTCCAACTAGACCACATCACTTTTTTCATTTGTTAATTCTTTAAACAAACGTTTATAAGCTGTTCCTAATTCTGTCGGCATTAAATATATTAAAATTTGGAAGTTCTGCTTGGTGCTAGCTGAATTCGTACTAGTTAAATTATCATTTCTAACATCTAATATAATATATGCAATCTTCTTCCATGCGTCGGATTAGGACTCCAATCTAGTACTTGTACTGCACGAAGGCTAAGCAATGGGCTGGTAGACAGGTTTTGTTCAACTCTGTTAATGGGCAGAATTAAAAATTAGTTAGTAATCATATGATCTAATAATCTACATATTTTAAGGTAATTATCAAAAGTTTCTTAGTGGTACGTGTTATCAAATTAAAGAATTTAATTTTTATATATTGTTAATGTAAAAAATTGTACTTATCAACTATTTTTTTTTGGGTAGACAAGAAAAACTTATCATCTAATACGAGATTATTCTTTGCATGACTTTTACAATAGTTATTATAAAAGTTACTAAATTTATCATATAATCATTTATGATTAGATGATTTTTTTTTTGAAAGCTTAGATGATATTATAATAGTGTAAATGTATAAGTTATTTACTCCAAATGAAAATGATTGAAATTTGGTATATATCTTGGATGGATTAGGGTTCAATGTGGAGACTGTTGAGTATAGAAATGCCAGCTTCACCGTCTGGGATGTGGGAGGGCAGGACAAGGTATTCGTGATTTTTGGTCTCATCTTAATTTATTAGGGATGAAGCTTTGAGTGTCTTTTTGTTAAATGTTTGAGCTCATTCGTTTTCTAAATAAATAAAACAATTTATTAGATGAAAAGAAACAAAGCATGAGCACAAGGTGTGCAAAAGCTAAGCTGTGCATAGTTTGAGACAAAGACGTTTGAGTTCCATTTGAAATCCGGTGCTTATAGATTTATTTGCTAGAATATTTTATTATTAGGTTCATTAGTATATGATAGATTCCTTGCACGTTACTCAAACTACTCTAATAAGATTATTTGTCAATTTCTATGTAGATTCGACCATTGTGGAGACACTACTTTCAGAATACACAAGGACTTATCTTTGTGGTAGATAGTAACGATAGAGAAAGAATTTTAGAAGCCAGAGATGAGTTGCATAGAATGCTGAGTGAGGTCAGTAATTTTCATATTTTAATAAGGTTTAATTTATCATTTAGTTCGCATCGAATCAACTTTTAGTTTTAGTTCTTATCTATTCCTAAAAGTTTACAACTCAATCTCTATATAAATATATATTTTTTTTTAATGTTTTAGTCTTTACGACTCCATACAGAATAAAACAAAAAAGTTACCCTAATATGGACCACGTGATGAATTAAATATTTTACATAGACTTTTAAATCATAGTTAAATTTCTATCTAAAGTGAACTCCAAATTCAGAAAAATTCAAGCTTTGGCTTTGGACATAAAAGTAAAATAAAGTTGCAATCATCTTGATAATGATGAGCATTGCAGGATGAACTTCGTGATGCTACAATACTGGTGTTTGCCAATAAGCAAGACCTTCCAAATGCTTTAAGTGTGGCAGAAATTACAGATAAACTTGGTTTACATTCACTTCGCCTGCGTCGCTGGTATGTCACATTAAATTCCAATAAGTCATTATTCGAAACTCTAAGGCATATATTGATTAAAAATTAAAACTTATATATCATGCAATGTGAGAATAATGTGTAACTTATTCTAGCTAATTTTTGGTTGATGAAGGTACATCCAGCCAACATGTGCCACATCCGGGCAAGGACTCTATGAAGGGCTAGATTGGTTATCCAGTAACATATCTAACAAAGCATGATGAACCAAGCTCTGCATGCATTTCTCATCTTCTTCGATATGAATGCCGAGA